GCAAGTTTTTTTTAGCGAAATAGACTTAAAGTGATTGATCACATTAATTAAGTTAGAATATTGAGTAAAAAAAGTGTAAAAATTGAGATACGAAACTATTTTTGTCCAATTTTTATTCTAAAACATGTTAGTGAAATTGCACCATTTATATTCAGATCTCATTTTATTTTTACATGTACATGGTTTTAACTAATACAACGCCCGTGTATATTACACGGATGCTTGCTAATTTTTCTTAAAATATAAAATTAATGAGAAAAAGCAGTTGAAAATATAAATTCATTTTATAAAAATATATATCTTATTATATATTTAGTATGACCCTTTTTTTATTTTTGCGACTTACCTGTGTTATAGTATAATAATTTTTTTAACTTAGAACATATAACTACATTAAACATAAATATATCAATTGAGAAATAGTTTTATATTTATAATGAATTTGAATAAATATTATTATTTTTTTATTATTATAAAGATAAATATAATTTATTTATTTAATATATACAATATGGATGTCAAATCGAAGATCATCGAAAGATGATTAATTTGACATATTATATATGTAACATCGATAAGAAATACAAAGTTATCAACTTTTAAAATACATTAACAATTCAATAGCTAATTAAAAGAAGCAAATCAAAAGTCAAGGATATATTAGTCACTTACTGTCTCACTATGTAAAATACAAAGAATTAAAAGGTTATATTACTACAAGTGATATTAAAATACCTAAGTTAGTTAAGTATATTTATAGAATGTCTGAACCTACATCATTAATTATTAATATATCAATATTATTTGTCCGAACCTAATTACGAAGCATCATTCCTCGCAAAGTAGGATTTCAAAGCACCAGAAGCAGCCACGTAGGCTCAGCGCATTCGGGAATTATATATAAGGGGAAGGGGATGTTGATTGTAAATATACTAACTTTTACAAATGGTTGATTTGTGTTTTATTTTTATCAATTATTTTTCATTTATGACTAATTTATTCATAATTTATATATAGTTTTATTTTGAATGTTGTCTTTTTATAAAAATAACAAAAACAATCTACATCTACATAAAAAGGTTGATGTTAAAATCTTTTTTGGAAAGCTAAAATAATTGAGTCAAATGTTTGACTTACCACATTTGGAAAACCAATTCAAAGTTCAAAATTTGAGTTAGTTGGACCACCGTGTTTATAAACTTGCTTGATGTAATTGTACATACAACTTAGATAAAATATTCAACAAAGATTCCTATTTTATTGGCAAGCAATTTGGAAGGGATCTACTTTGAAAATTTATATATATCTATGTTTGGTGTTTTGATTTGGATGAAATATGTCACTTGGAGATTTAATTTATGTTTTAAAATCTTATTTTTTTATGAAGACATTATTTGAAAATTTTGATTTGTACTGAAATATTATTTATTTCGATATTCAATTTTGCTATTCAAGCTTGCTAATAAAAAAATTGCACTTAAATATGCTATAAAAAGTTGTCCAAATTAATAATTACTTCAATTATATAATTATTATGTACACGACAAGAATATGATAAAATTCTAATGAAAATCTGTGAAAGTTTGACATATGCAAGAGCATTTTTCAAACGCGAAAATTAGGAAGAACACATTTTTTTTTAATATTTACCGTAATTTTGATAAAAAAAAAATGATCAGTGCTTATCTTACCAAATATTGAAGATATATTTGAATCTAGAACCCAAAATATCAAAATGTCCCCAAATTTTGAATGGTTTATTTAAAAAATATTAACATAAAAATTTAACGGGCATTATTCAACAAACCAATTTAATGCCATCTAAGGATCCCAAATTAGGATATGCAATAAATGGCCGTGTTTCAAGCAAGGAAATTCGTAACAAACATAATCATTTTGGATATTCACACAAAGTTTATTTAAATATATCTATAGATAGTTATCTAAACACTCTTTGATCCTTGAAATGTGGTATTTCAAATATCCCAACTAATGTTAGTTATTTTAAATGACTATCATTATAATATATATATATATATATATATATATATATATATATATATATTAAAAGAGGTTGATGAATAATTAAAAAATGAAAAAAAAATAACTTTTTGTTTGAATAGTTTGACGTACTTATTGAGGAAATTTTTTGAATAAAATTTAAAATTAATTTTTTATCATTTTGCATGAAATTTAATTTCCAAAATTGTATGCTTAAATTGTCCTGCTTCTTTGGCTTTTTATAGTACACATAAATTGTAGGCCAAAATATTGTCAACTTTCTTTAACAATTTATGTAATCATATTATTTAAAAACAAGTATGTATCGATAATTTGTTTAAAAATTAAAATATATTTAAAAATGGGCGACAAAAATTTTTGGTATTATGTTTTAACAATAAATCTCAAACTACAAAATTAGTTATATACATTAAAAACATAAATCGAATATTGGCAGTACTTTATTTACATATAAAATCATCATGATGTTTAAAAAGTTTGTGTTAATCATTTCTCATCAAAAATGAATTAATGGTGGAAAATAAATTTACTTTGAGAATTAATTTACTGATCGTGGTTATAATCTAGATCTTCAGTAATTGATTATAATCTAGACCTTCAGTAATTGATTCGTACTGTTGTAAGATAATATAAACGACCATACACATACATTACTTATTTATTTGATTTATCAATTTCTTATTCTGTTAGGATGACATACTCGGTATTTTGGTAGGTGAGAGTATTTATATGATGTACTATTATAAATTATTTATAGTCACCGTGTCCCAGTGCGCTGATAAATGCTAATTTTCACAATTAATTTATTTATTATAGTACTTATATATATTATAAAAGCGAAAAAATTATTATGTTTAAAAACATAATAACTGATATGCAAAATATCTTCGTTATATAGTAGCTCGTATTGGTATTGAGTTATCTCGACAATCGCAAAATCAATCGATTAATTTAAAATTTAAAAGATGTTTTCTTTTTATAAATATGCATAAAGTAAGAAATAAATAACTTATATTTAGATATATAATTTATAATCTTGATATATTGTCGTTTGTTATAAACATTTACTACATGAGTCATAAAATATTTTTTATTTCATAAAGTTACATATATTTAAGAAAAATAAGAAAATTTCATTTGATCAATCGAGGTGATTGAATTAGGTGCTCGCTATTAGTTGATATTTAAAATAGTCTAAATACATGACAATTGATGTTAATCCACGTGACCGGGTTATGGTCAATGACACAACCGAGGCTGATCATTATTCCTGAGTGACTAATTATGTGTCAGTTTGACCATACCAAATCGATTATTGAACTAAATATCTTAATATTAAAAATACTTTATTAAAATAAATGTAATGTAGTTCATACTCCAAAAAATTATATTAAGATTGCTTTTATTACAACATTTTCAAGGATTTATGAACACTTATACATTATTTTTATTAATATTTATGTGAACGCAATGGTATTGCACTACATTTTTATTAATGTACGGTAAATCCAAAATTCTCAGGAGAGGACAATTTTAAACCGACCAAATTATTTATTCAATGATTTATTAATTGTATCAGAATTTGAATTATCAATATTTAAATATATATATATATAGTATTTATTAAATAAAATTTTTAAAAATATTAATTAAATATATGAACAATTTAAACTTATTCAATGTTTAAACTAAATGATAAATATTTTATAAATATTCATTTTTAAATATATATTTTATTTATTTTAAAAATAGTTTTAAATATAAAAAAAATTATTTATAAAATCGTAACGATACTACCAGTATGATCGATTGGTGTTCATTGATTCTATTGCAAATATTTTATTCAATCGAACCGAACTGGTCGATAAACTGGATCCAGTCCATACAGTCGGACTGTTCGGTCCAATTCAGTTTTGAAAACAATAGGTAAATCATGATTAACGTTATTTATATATTTTATTTATAATAATACAATCATAATATTGTTCCCCGTGCATCGCACGGGTCATGTACTAGTTAAAAAGTATAGTGAAAGACATTCATTCCAAATGGACTTGGGCCATATTTTAAGTGAAACAGATATGTAGATGAACATTTGAAATATAACTAGCCCAACCAAGTCCTGCCCTTCCGCTATGCCTGTATAAATGAACTAGGGTTTCCGGAGGTCAGAGCCTCTCACTTACAGCGGGAACTCCGAACACCAAGTCTCTACCTGAGGTGCTTAGAATCCTGTAAGTGTTTATATCCATGGCGATTTTGTTTTCTCTGTGTTTTTGATTCGTAAATTCATCATTGGTTGTTATTTGAGCTGCTGTTGACGAAATGACGAGGATGAGCTGCGGGTTTTTGTGATTGCCTTGGTGCCTTTGTTTTAAGATCGTTTAGTGCTTTATGATAATGCATTTGGTACTGTGTTTCGTTATGGTGGATATTGCTGGTTATTCATCGAACAAGGGACAAGAGATAGATCGAATGTTCAGAGAAAAGTTTTCCCGTCTTTGATTTGGTCCGTTTTTACATTTCTTTCATGTTATGTATATCTGTGTTTTTCTACTTGGACGTAATGCGTATGTTCTTGTTTTGTTTGTAAAGATTAGTCATGGGCAGTAATCAACTCTCATGTGTTTTAGATATGAAAGAACAACGTGAGTACGAGAATCATAAAAATCATTTCTTGAGTGTCATTTATGTGTATATTTATTTGCCAGAATCTTGCAAAAGACGTGTACTGAAAAAAAGGATACTTGTGTCTGTCCGTGATTGAGGATATTGGTTCGTGTGTATGAGGGGTTCCGGTGAATTGAGATGTATGGTTATACGCCACAATAAGCGATTGCATTGTTGGAATTTGGACTAATCAGTTAGATACGTAGTGATCTTTGTGTTGTGTCGTTCCTTGTAAAGTGTTAAATAAATTTTGCAACGTGATAGTTAGTATATTATGGTTTTGGCTTGTACCCTAGCCCAGATTAGCAATGGCTGAGGCTGGTAAAGGCTATGTGATAGTGCCGGAGTCACTTGTGAAGAAGCAGAAGAGGGCTGAGGAGTGGGCCCTTGCCAAGTCAAAAGAAGTTGATGAGGCAAAGCAGAAGCAAGCCGTGACCAGAAAATTGATTTGCAATAAAGCAAGAGAGTACGCAAAGGAGTATGAGCAACAGGTTATCTTGAATTATCTTTGCCTTTAAAATCAAAGACAGGCCAATTTGTTTTGTCCTTCTAGTTCATCATTCACTAGTTCCTTTTTTTTTTTTTTTTTCTTTCAATTTTGTCCTCTAGGAGAAGGAGTTGATCCAATTGAAGCGTGAAGCTAGATTGAAAGGTGGGTTTTACGTGAACCCAGAAGCCAAACTTTTGTTCATCATCAGGATCCGTGGGTAAGCTTTTTGCTTGCTTCTCAGGTTACGCATCCAGCTCAATGTTGGGAAGAATTTCTATTTACTTTATCTTTATATAATTTCAGTATTAATGCTATGCACCCAAGAACCAAGAAAATTCTTCAGCTTCTGAGATTGAGACAGGTATCCTCTGCAAGTGTTATAGAGTAATCCTGTTTGATCTTAGTTGTTTTCATCCTGTTGCTAAGAGTCCATGGGGCATGGATGCTTGATACGATTTACATTTTGTATCACTTGTCATTATGTGTTTTTCCTCATATGTTGACTCATGCATATTCCTGGTAGATTCCAGAATTAAGTTTAATTATCCTTTTTTGCCGTCATGGACATGTTCTCATGAATTAAAGTTTCTTGTTCTAAACCTTTTTCCCTCCATGAAGCTAATGTTGTTCTTGGATGAAAATATAATGTCTGAACTTTCAGATATCCTTAATAAATGTTTATCAGGATATGTTGCCTCCGGATAAATTTGTTACAATGAGATTTAGGTCTTCATGCTTCTGTTTCGAGTTTCCCTTATTAATTTTTCTGGCTCTAGGAAAAAAACAATTCTACTTCATCTCATGTATTTTATTAATTTGGTTTCTAATTGACACTCGTATAGATCTTCAATGGTGTCTTCTTGAAAGTAAACAAGGCCACAGTTAACATGCTGCACAGGGTTGAGCCTTATGTCACTTATGGGTAAGATAGCAACTAACCTGCATAATTATACTTTTTGGTTAAATAAACCATCTGAAAATTGTCGAAACAATGAACTTTCAGATACCCCAACCTTAAGAGCGTGAAGGAGTTGATCTACAAGCGTGGCTATGGAAAAGTGAACAAGCAGAGGATTGCTTTGACTGATAATTCAATCATTGAGCAGGTTACTATATGTTTCCTGTTTAATATGAAATTGAATTCTGCTGTTTCTTTTAAATTGATATATTATTTTGGTCTATGTTTACATATGGTTATTTTACAATAGACTTTGGGCAAGCATGGCATTATCTGCATGGAGGATCTTATTCATGAGATTCTGACTGTGGGACCCCACTTCAAGGAGGCTAACAACTTCCTGTGGCCGTTCCAACTGAAGGCTCCTTTGGGTGGACTGAAGAAGAAGAGGAACCATTATGTTGAGGGTGGTGATGCCGGTAATCGGGAAGGATACATTAATGAACTCATCCGGAGGATGAACTAAGTTTTTGGGTCGATCGGTTTTTCCTAAACTCTGTTTTGTTGAATTTTGAGATTTCTGGTAATCAAATCATTACAAATGATGTTTTCTTATTGCGTTAATTTTGTAGCTCCGCTGTTTCGAGATATAGGACCCTCAAAAGACTTGGATCCACATTTTTTTTGGGGTATATTTATGGAGTTGGTTTTTTGGATGCCTTTGTTTGTTTTCTTTATTTTTTGTTTGGTTTGATTTTGATGTATTTTTGCATCTGTATTTTTATCTGACTTGTATAAAGAAATGATTTTGAAGAGTGACAATTCTCCTAGCATAGTGCTAATAATGAACTAGTCAAAATGGCTCAATTAAATTGTGGGTCATACTACATGTACAACTGCAGTTGACAACATTGGTTGACAACACTAGTTATCACAATTGAGCTAAATCTTAGCCATACATTTATTTGCATCTCAACTATCTACATCATGACACATCATGTTGTCATAAAATGTTGTACAAAATAATTGTACAAGTAGTTTTTTCCTTAAATTTTAGTACTTCTTCTATTAGTGAAGTTTTTAGAAAAAAAAAATATATCAAACGAGCAATGCACCTTGAGTTGCCACGGAAACAACCTTCTTGTATAATTACAAGGGTAAGGTCTGCGTACAACTGACCCCCTAGACCCCAACAAATTGAGAATATACTAGGTATGTTATTGTTGTTGTTGTATAAGTATGTTATTGTTGTTGTTGTATAAAAATGCCAAGTTACTCAGTTAAGTATGTAAGCTTAGTACTCTTGTTTTTTTGGTGATGAACGTGGAATGTGCTACTTTGTGATGATTCTTAGTAAGAACATTCTACAAGTACATAAATAAATGTACATAGATGTGTACATAACACTCGGAGTGAGGTCCACTTGATTTTTTATATTTGGTAGGATCTCTTAATGTACATGGTATGTACATCTCTATGTATAGTATTATGTACTTATAGCATCTCTTGACCTCATACACGGTTTTGTTATGAAGCCAACAATTGGCTCCATAGTAGAGCCAACCTTCTATATACGACAAATAAACCTACCATATTATTTGATTACTTAAATAACATTAATATAATTCTATTGATATGGTAGGTTTATTTGTCGTATATAGAAGGTTGGCTCCACTATGGAGCCAACTGTTGACTCCATAGCAAAACCGCATAAATATAGTGAGATTATGTAGTTCAAGAATATATAGACAAGATATGGCTGGCACATTTACCATGTACTAAATTTCTTCATAAGGAATACTAATAATGCAATTCAGCTGCTATAAGCATATATTGTTGTCAGCGTTCTTTTCTTACATGGCGGTTTATGTTTTCTGAATCTGACATTTTTTTCACATGCATGGCATTTTTTTTTTTTTACAGGAAAATGATGCATCATGTCCACGTATTTGTATATTTTTTCCCATATGCAACTACTTTCTGCTACATAATTCAATAATATTTGTGAACCCTTATCTTTAATAATTTATTTATTTTTATGATTCTTGTCCTCACGGTTAATAGTTTTAAAACTCACTAGGGCTAGACTCTGGGTTATCGGTCCAACTACCAGGTCATTGGTTCAATTGCTAAATCGGGTCATTGATTTTATGAAACTTTAAATTGTATGTATGTTATTTTTATCTTATAACTATACATAAAATAATATAAATAAATTATATATAAATGCCATAATCCAAATTCTTAATAATATTGTATTTTGTCATAAACATTTACCACATAAATGCATATATACATAATATTATTTGTAAAAATAAAAATGTAAAGAGCAAAAAACAAAAATACTTCAAGGCTAGTTCAAACCGAGTTGAACCCGCCGAGTAAATATCCATGTCAACTGGATCAAGGCCGATTTGACCAGATCCCTTACTATCCGGTCCGAACTACCCACTATTGTAGCAAATTTTGTTTTGTTATCAAGTACAGAATGAATCCCGACCTCGGGTCGATCTCTTAAGGAAGTCGGTTTGGAATCTAGAATTGGTGTTGATCACGAAGGAAAAGAAAATAAGAACTTAAACATTCTAATCGCATAAGGATTGAAAAATTATCTAAAAACTATCTAGAACTGTAAAGGCGAACAATAAAATCACTAGATCAGTAGAAGAACTGGGGCCCTTATCTAGAAGTTCTAAGGTGTCGGGATTCAGCACTTCAAGTCTTAAATCTGTATCAAACGAATTATGTTCTGTTTAAAAACTGGGGCCCTTACCTAAACCCTTAGCGGTTCACCCCCAGTAACTCTCGTAACAAGAGATTGAACATAAACGAGCAAATCAAAGCATACAGACAAGCCTAGAGACCCGTCCCCGATACTTTTACGAACACGAGTTCGGACATAGACAAACACATAATTCTGTTAAATAATCCATAGGCAATATAATTACGAACATGTCAACCTTACTCGAACCATGATTGGATACCCTATCTACTTCTGAATTCAAGTTATCTATTTAAACTAGATTGCGATCAGTCAAAGAATCAACTTAATCAAGTAATTCAAATAGGTATGAACATCACACATTCAACAAAATTTCAAAACGAGAATTGAAATCCATATCCCTAGGTGGAAGAATTATCTTATGTTCGAATTAAAATTCACATTAATCCAATGCAAGTAACACCGCATTGAATAAAAATTTGAAAATAAAAACTTACAATCAGTTCATGAATTGCAAGAATTCAATCCCAATATATTTGGCCCCAACAATTCAAACACGAGTGAGCATAAAAAGGGAGAAAGATCCTACAAACTATATGTTGTGTACAAATTGTTATTTTTACCGAGTACCGAATCGAAATATTCGTACAAACTATATGTTTTTACCGAATTTAGCTTTGGTATCAATAACACACAAAAGGAAAACAAATCATAAACATTCTAATCAAATAGGAGATTGAATAATTACCAACTAATAAATAACTTAGAATGAAAATCTACCAAAAAAAAAAAAAAATGAAACGATGAAAAAGAAGTTAGGGAGTCAGAGATAATTTATTCAAGTTCTTAGCAAAACCAGACAATTAATTGTTCGGTTCGAGATTGACACTCTCGCTTAGATATCTAGCAGTTCGCTCCAATAACTCTTCGTAACAAGGGATTGAACATAGACGAGCAAGCTCGAGCATAGAACGCAGGCCAATTATTCCAATCTGAATAACTTTTCGTAACAAGGGACGGGTCATCGACAAGCACGTATTTCAATCCAAAACCTATAAACTATTCAATTACGAAATCATCTATCTCATGCGAGCCTAGGTCTACGACTTCTCCCCTTTCGGTTCTAAAAGTTGCTAATTCAATTAGAAGGTGTTTAATCAACTAATCATTTAGAATCATCAAAGCCCTAACTCGACAAATTAACATTCAATTGTTCTAATTGCAAGATCGAAGTGTCACTCTTCAATTATATCAATCAATCGAACAAGAATTCAACAATTCTGAATTAAATCAACGCACACAAGAATGAACAAATCAAGCCCAACATATACGAATTAAACAAGAACAATCATCCCTTATCCCTAGCAATAAGAATTAGCTACGTATATCGAATTCAACACACATAATCATTCTTCTCAAATCAACCATTATACATGAATTAAATAATAGAAATAAATTCTTACAATTAATCTCAATTCAAGTATTGAATCCCAAAATACAATGCTTAATCCTAGATAATAATTAAAAGAAGAATAAAAATAGAAAAAAAAAAGATTAAGGAAAGAAGAAAAACGAAGAAGAAGAATAGAGGAAAGAAAAAGAGTTCTGCGTGTTTTTCCCGACCCTAGGGTTTTCACCCAGGAGGGGAGCGTTCTTTTCTGATCGAATCACGCACATATTTATACAAATCACATGTCGCGGCGAGGGAGAAAATCTGACGCGACGGGAGGAGGTGCTGGTGCTGCGGCGCAGGAGAGCACCACAGTGCGGCAGGGAATGGGTGCTCTATGAATGCGCGTGTTGGGTGTCACGCCATGGCTCGCGGCGTGAGGAATCTTGGTGGCGCGGCGTGGCGGGCCGCCAAGGCGCAGCGTAGTGTAACTGCGCGTTAGGATGTTCTGGGCATGGGTGTCGCGGCGCGGAAGGTGACGCGAGCAAGGCGCTGGGCCTGGTGTCGCGGCGCGAGGGACTCCGCGGCGTGGGCGAGCGAGCATGCCTCTTTGAAGGAGTCGTGGCGAGTGTCGCGGCGCGGGGACCTGGGACGAGAGTTGTTACGTACCTTTCTTTTAATTCTTTGTGTCTCGGGCTCGTTTACGCTCGTCTGGACTCAGAATTTGATTCCACTTTTTTTTTTGTGTGCCGCCAGCAAAGCGTTCTATTTAATTATGTTCACCCGGTTCATTTATCGTGGAAAATAAATCCTCCCAAAGCTTTCGACCTACATACCATAAACGAAGAAAAACCGGAAAAAAACATGCGGAAAACATATTGAAAAGCAAAATAGAGCAAAACAAGCAATAAACTACAAAACGACTGATAAACCTGTGAAAAGACCTATAATGGGGGAAAAAGAAATAAAAAAATAACAAGGAAAAATGCAATAAAAATGGGACAAACACTATATTTACAAAAGTTTTTTTGGTGTCTGGGAGCGTTGGAATCGGTCCTAGAATGTTCTTCAAATTTTCTATGATGACTTTCCAAGTTTGGCATGAGTCCCCATAAATACCGGTTCAAACGTGGCAAAAAATGCATTCGGATACATTTTTGTAATGTCTCAGTTGCGGGCGCAATGAGCTTCGTACGCGTGAGGCGTAGCAGGCCTGGCAGGGCGACTGCAGGAACGCACATGGGCACGGGCACGAGGCTTAGGTGACGGGCAACTAGGCGTGGGCTTGGGGTCTAGGCTATGTGACCGCGCGTCGCGACGCGACAAATTTAAATTTATAAAAGTTTCCTCGACTAACCTCTACTAAATAGTAGTAGCGACGAGTAAGGGTCGATCCCACGAGGAGCATGAACTA